TTTTCTATTTATTTATTTTTTTATTTTTTTAAAATAATTTTAATTAGAAAAACTAGAGTAACGACGAGTGGCGATAACCACCACCACCATCCTTAAAACACTTACCCAGCAATCGCTGCACCAACATCAGTTTCTCGATTTCTTCTTCTTTCGTTTGATTTGTTCATTTTTAAAAAGAAGTTAAAAAGTTTGTGATACAATGACGCGCATACTTTAATTATTTATCCTATTGGTTTTTTTTTGGTAGGACAGACGCGAATTGATTTTTTTTTTTTGGAAAAACAAAAAACAATTTATTTTTTGACAGAGTCCAAGGTGACAAAACGTGAGTGTTGTTGTTTGGTTTGGTTTGGTTTGGTTCTCCTAAAGAAAATGTGTTAATAACTAACCAGAGGTACTATTTTTTGTATTGATTGATATTTTTGGTTATTATAAATATTTTAATTGGAAATCAAAACATGGAGCAGATCTTGCTGGGTAATTATAAGATGGTGAACAAACGATTGGTATTTCACTTTGCATATAATCGTAATATAATACTAATATTAATATTAATATATAATTACAAGATATCAAGGCAGCATTGACTGTTGCAGAAAAAACATTCGATATGCGTTGTTTGATTATCGGAAAATTGGCAGGCGTTGAAGCACGCATGCTGCCTTGAACTTTACAGTCATTCTCTCATCTTCCTCGTGTACATAAGGCTAATCTGACCAAGATTCCCATGATGATACAATGATGCAACCGAATTCCAGGGGGGGCGACATGGCCCTGGAGTTTACCAAGGCTGCATCAATCGTCAATGACATTTTCACTAATCTTCCCAGACCAGAGAAGGCTGCTGGCATGCTAGCCAAAAAGTTGCCTCCAACGATTCCACCTCTAGGGCAAGGATGGCTCTGTGACCAAGCTGTTGCAACTCTGGAGGAATATTAAGAGAATCTGCAACTTGTTTCAACCACAGGAGGTTACAATTCAGAGCAGGGTTGGTGGTCTCTGAAATTGCATTTGGGCTCTGATGTTGCGAGGAAAGCTGTAAAATGAAATGGTTGAGATTTTGTTTGGTATGTTATGCATAAATTGATTCATAAATTTTCTATTTCTCTAATTTTTGTTTGACCAACTGAATTTGTTGTTTAAACATGGGTAGGGTTGTTGGTGAGCAGGTGTGCCACTAACAAGACAGCAAACCAGGACTCAAAACTTGGAATTCAGGGAAAATCCAAAACAATAACCCAGGTTGCAACCTCCCAAGTTGCAGAATTTCACACCAGTTGCAGACACCAACTTTATTCTAGAGAGGTATATCACACAAATGCTGATCCTCATCAGTGATCAATGCCTGTATGATAACAGCCAAGCCTGGTCTGAGGGGAAGATAAGGGAATGTTTTGTCCAAAGCCTTCCAACTTGTTCAATTTACCTCTTCTGTAGGAATGGAAAACCTCATGGTTCGAGGTGTGCAATTGCATGACACTTGCATGTTTTGTGATAGGAAATTTTAATTAAATCTGACACCTGTGATCAACATCAGATTTATTATTCATTCTTGTGAACCCCAGAGATCTGGGCAGTCACGCATTATTAAAAGTTTCATTTTGCATGGCCTTGGTGTTATTTATTACCTGGGTGATGCAATTGTTTGTTATGCTAATGATGACATCAAATGGATTGAATAATAATCGTGACCATCATGAATATTTGGGGGCATGGACAATAGAAATGACCCAAACGTCAAAAATCATGATTTTGAGTTAATAACATTCCTATATGTAATTCATTGCAAAGATTAATTTTAGCTTAGAAACCA